CCGCCGGATGATCTTGGTCCCGTAGTGCTTGTGGAAGGCCTGGTTGTAGCTGAGGGTGAACTTGTTGCGGTAGGCTGAGACCAGGCGTTCGAAGGGCTCCCGCACGAAGATGAACTTGAGGTAGCTGCGCAGGCGGTAGTTGATCTCGGAAACGCTGTACTCGGAGAGGGTGCGCAGGTTGGATGGGACATGGGCCTCGTGGGCGGGGATTTCCAGTGGGTCCTTGTACTTGCCTTGCCCTGTCAGGACCATCATTACCCGTTTCCAGTTAGTGCAGGCCACTTTGGGCACGTAGCAGTAGAGCAGCCCATGCGTGTCATCCACCACCAAATGCCGCAAGTCATACCGCTGCAGGAGGCGCCGCTTGCGGGTGTAACGGTTGCAGACGTTGCTCAACGTCTCCCGTCTCTGATGGTGAATAGCCTGCAGTGTCGACTGCTCAAACTGGGGAGAAAAAATACAACAGAGATGGTCACCAGTTTGCCCAAGATAACTGTAGCCTACACACAAGACTTGGCCCACAGTTGTCTCCATTCCTTCCCCTTTCCTGGGTTTGGCAGTCACTCATGCAGGATTTTTGGGGACAGCATTGACTTTGAACACAACTTGATTTGGTGCTTTTAATCCTTGGACAAGCTGGGGGCAAAAGGGAGGACAAAATAGGATGAAGAGCTGGGTAAAGATACAAGTCAAAGGGGGTGAGGGAAGAACAGGTAGCGCAGAGAGGGTCAATAAGGAAGTATCTTTTAAAAGCATCCCCGCACGCACTGACCTAATGTGTTCTCCCTTACACCAGTCTGGGGGACATGCACGGCCCCAGGGCAGACACTACAGCCTGTTTGCTGGCACAGGGCCCCTCCTGCTGCTATGGGGCATTTCTGTGTTGCACTGACACCTACACCCATGGGCTTGCTGTGAATGCCCCACCCAAGAGTGGAACACACGTTCAGGTATGCATGACGGAAAAGGCATGGATGTGCTGCCAAGGAAAGGCAGAGAGAATTGGTCTTTAACGCTGACAGTCCAAGCCTGGGGAGTAGGTGGGGAGCTGGAGGTAAGGTGGGGTGGCAAGAGGAGGAGCAAGGGGCTGCTGCAGATGGTGGTGGGACCCTCTCTGATGGCTCTGGGTTCCTTCTACTGAGGGACTTTTTCTACACAGGCCATTCCAATGCCTCAGCTCTGGTCACAGTTTCCTTTATCACAGGGATGAGGAATTAAGACATGGTCATTTATCCCTTTTGACTCTTGCATCAAGGCCTGGTAGCTGCTGCACTGGCTTCTGAGGAGCCCAGAACCCCCTAACCACTGCCCAGCTGAAACCCTCCCTTCAGATTTGGGGATGTGACCTTTCCTGTCATGGTTTTCATTAGAAATCCCAAAATGTCATTAAAACATCTAGGGAAGGAAAATCATTACCAGGAAGTCAGAAGAGGAAGGTCCCCTCTTCCTCCTACCCACTCACTCCCTGTTTTGCTCACAGGGCTTGGGAGGTTTTGTGTTCATCATTGCTGGGAACAGCCTTGTCCGGGTGATGACCACTAATGGCTCCACCACACGCCGGCTGACCCGGGATGGCTCTGATCCCGCAGGGCTCTTGCTCTGATGCTGTGTAATTACTGCCATGTCGCAAAACAACGGGGGGTTCCTCTTTGGGGTTGTGAAGACAGTCCTGTCAGTGTCCCAGGGTGCCACAGCAAACAGCTCTGCCACTCACAGAGACATGGCAACCTCCAAATGAGGGCAAGGGCAGGCTGTGTCCTTGGTCCCTCCATCCTTGCTGCTGACAGCTGTCACGGCCTAGGCACGCCCTTTGCTAAGATTCAGGTGCACTCTCACTGCTTCCTGAGGGACTGTAAGTTGGTTTGGGAGGCACCAGAGCCTGGGAGAGGCAGGGTTTGTAAAGCTCCTTAAAGAAGTTGGGATACTGAGACAAACTGTCCAGCCTGTGGATGATCCAGTGGACTTGTCTCCTTCAGAGAGGCACTTACACCTGGGCTAAAAGCTCCTCCTGCAAGGAATGAACCACACTCAGACCCTTTTGGATCTCATTTCCACAAAAGAAAGAACATTGTCTGGGTCACCTTAGCGACTACTTTCTCCAGGAACATGCATGTGCAGTAACCTGAGACAGGAGTAGGAGAAAACATCCCATCCCTGTTCCTTCCAATAGGGGGATGATAAGGGAAAATGCTCAGATGGAGGAAACGCAGGTGAACAGATGCTAACTGCCACCAAAATATGACTCTGACATTGTTAGCTACTTGGCTATGAAGAAAATACAGCACCTAGGGAGGTGATAACCATAGCTGAAGAGGCATTCTCACGGTACGTCCTGTGACACAGCCAAACCTTTCAATAGAAATTTCTTTTGTTTGAAGCCTCCCTGTAGCCTTTTAAAATTGGAAACTCTTTTTGCAAGGGCTTAAAAAAAAAAGAGGCATTTTAACAATGTGATTTTTTTTCAGGTGTTTTTCCCTGCACTTGCATAATTCAAAGCTATTGGACCAGAGAGACAGACAGACAGACACTGTCTGCAGGCATGGCAACAAATAAATGTGACTACTTTTCAACAGCCGCCCACTGGAATAAGTGCACGTCTTGCAGTTATTTCAGAGCAAAATTGTTCCCTTCATTTCCTTCTCTTTAAAAGCCAGGGAAATTAAGCATGACTTTTAAGGAAATAACACCATAACATTCCAGCAGCATTAAGGTTTGCCGGCAGTGTGGTCGAGGAAGTCCATATTTGCCATTTTTCAGAGAGCAAACGTACTTCGGCTGCTTATAGGCATAAAAGCATCAACCTAGACAGTAACACAAAGCATCACATCTGGAGAGGAGATCCAGCTCCACCTGCATGGGGCAGTGCTGATGGGCAGTGGGGAGGCAGCAGGGATGGCAGCCCACTGCAGGGACCACCAGCATCGCCCTATGCCCTGTAGGAGATGACAGCCCCATGGACACAGGGAGATGAAGGGCACATTTGGTGGCTGGGGCATGTGGCAAGGCCCAGCCTGTTGCACCAGTTGGAGGGCGGTTTCCTGTAGGACTTTCTGCAGGGAAGCTGTGGGCGAGGATCCCTCTGCAAAGACAAGTGTGGCTGCAGGAGGGGAAAACTGCCCGCCCAGAGGGGAAACACAGCAGAAGGAAACAAACACCTTTTGCAGTTTCAACCACAAACCCCACTGTGAAGGTCAAGCAGGACACCTTCCCTGATTCTGGCTGGGATGCAAGTGCTCCCTGTTTCAAGCAGCGATCATGGCTTGTCCTGTTGCAGACCCTTGCACAGGGAGGGACCCACTAATCCCTAAAGGGGATGATCTCTGCCCAGGCTGCCAATTTTTCAGGAGATGCAGACGGCACAACTGAGGGTGACAAACAGGCCTGAGACGTCCCAGGATTGTAAATCCCTCATGGCTGAGTACATAAAAATATATATATAAAAATATTTAGATATGCATATACGTATGTGTGTGTGTATATATGCAGCACCCAACACAGAAATATCTATCAATTATTAGCTCATAAAGGGCAGCAACGATGCTCTTTCCCTGCATTGACAGCCCAGAATTGGCTTTGAATTCCTCAGACGGTGAAATCTCCCAGGTTTGCCCACCTATGGCTCAGCCCACTGGTAATGAAATCATTTGCCCGAGTACCGGCAAGGGCCATAAGTGGTTTGTATCAACAGTTACTCCCCAAAGCAGTGTGGTCTTGTCTTTTGGACACAGCCAGAGGTTCAGATGTGAGGACCTTGGGGGTAGTTGACGACGGCACAGCGTCCTGCACACCAGAGGGGTGAAAGAAAGGGTCAGTGCCCGGCACTCCACTCCATCTTCACCTCATCATCTCCATCTCCCCTTCCTCTTACCTGGTAACTCTCATACAGGGCCTGGAGTGGGCTGCGACCGGCCTTCCCCTGCCAAGTGGATCTCATAGCTCCGTCTTCTGAGGCTGGAAAAGGAGTGAGAAAAATCAGAGGGGTTGGAAGAGTCTGCTTCCCTCACCTTCTCTGGAGATGCTCAAGCTGGAATAAGGCAACATCTCCTGAGAAGAGACAAATAAATCCACCTGGTTCTGAAGCAACGTTCAAGCAATTCTTGTCCCTCCCTCTTACATTTTAACAAAATCTGCAGCTAGGATTCAAAAGATCCAGACCTAATCTTTAACAAATAAAAGACCATAAATAAAGATTACATCTTGTTACAATTTCAAGAGCAACTGGGAACAGTTTGATCCATGTGCATTTGGGAAATGCCACTGTGTGCAGGCTGCATTGTTGAGGGAATGACCCAGGAGGAGACAGGACCTCAATCAGCATTGCCACAGCCCTGTGAGGGACGAGATGGCATCTGTGCTTGGTAGAGGGAAGGGGTAGATCCAACACCAGCAGCTCTGTGCTGAGTCCTCCCAGGCTCAGAGTTTGCACTTCCAGGCTCAGAGACGTGGACAGAAATAGAGAAATTGGTCAGGTGCTTTGTCTGACTAGTAAATCAATTTAAGTTCATTTTTGCTATTTATTTTTTTTCTTCCCTTCTAAACCAGCACCATCTCCTCTGGTGTTGGAAGCTGAAGACAGCCACCCAAGCAGTCGTTGCCCCTTCCCTGCCCTGCAGATTGGCTGGTTTCATTTCAGAGGCTGATTTGCAGCAGCATCAAACCTAAGGCTGGATCTGGCCAGGTATGAATGTGGCACTGGACACTCAGTTGGTGACAGCTGCTCAAGCTCTCGTGCTCATAAATTACGCAGGGATGCAACCACCTTCCAGGCTATGAAGCATCTGCTTCAGCTGTCATTCCTTGGCCCTAGAGACATGTTTCCAGCACAACATGAACAAAACCATGTGGCCTGGATATCCCAAACCTAATACAGGGAGCCAGCCATGGCAGGAGCACAGGTTCTCGCTTGCAGTAATACCTTCAAGCAGCTGTCCCACAACTCACTCTGCTTCGTGTCTCTGACCCTCCCTGTTGGCAGAGGATGTCGCAAGAGTTTTAACATGAGGTTTCTAACCATGGGGGTTGTGCAGGCCTAGACTTGGCTTTCACAGAAGAAATCACACTCATGAGTTTTAAAAAGAAAAAGATGTTATTTCTGAAGGGGATGATAGGAACCATTGTTCAGGAGATTGTGGCCTGGGAGGCTCTTCCAGTCCTCCAAATTCCTGGGAAAAGCATGTGACACAAGCCATTTCTAGCAACTTGAAGGTTTCTAATAGAGGGGTTTTGCCTGACAGTTTGAGGCTCTGGATCTTTTTGTTCACTGACCATCACCAAACAAAACCAAATTTGTTATACAAGCCCCAGATGGCATCTGTATAACCAAAATAACCAGGAGGAAAAATCCAGATCCCATCTCCATTTTCATGTGCTTGTATTTTGCTTAAATGAAAACTGCTCCAAAGCACGAAATAACCAGGATCTAAGCTAAAGATTATTCATTCCTGGAGCTGCAATTAGGAGGAAGTGACTGCCTGATCTCACAAGATTTCATCAGCAGTGCCTGAATGCTTGCGTGTCCGTGGGAAATGACACTTCCTGCAGGACTGGATTGATCAAGATGTGAGTCAACGAGAAGTTACAGTTTCTTCCTCAATCTCCTGTATCAGTTACCCCACAGGAGGGTGAAATGGCATCTATGCTAATGAGAGATAAGCAGAAAATCCAACGTACAGTGCTGGGCTGAGATGCTTGTCCCAGAGGGGCCTCTTTTCACATTTCCAGGCTCAGCCCTCTGCAAATGACAGGGAATAAGATCAGCCCTGAAAACTCAACTTGCTGCAGCTCAAATCTGCAAGCAGAGACCATTAAACTTGAGTCCCTTTCCTGTCTGGGCCTGATAAACTCCTGTTCGATGTAGGAGAGTGACCCCACTGTGGGCTGTCTGCAGCGCCCTGCACCACAGCAGACACTGGTCCTATATTTAGTAAAAACAATGCAGAGGTGTTTGTTTTCAAGATTAACACGTGCATCAACCAGAACCTTTCTCCCTAGGACAGAAGCAAACCCTGGGTGGTTCAGGCTGACTCAAAGCTGCTAGAATGCAAATAGCCTGTGCTGGTGCTGTGCAAGGGGGAGTGGAAACGTCCCAGGGAAAGGCTTCAGTGTCTGGTGCAGCGTCAGGTCACGGCCCTGGAGGAACACTGGCTCGGTAGGAGGCTGTTTGGGCTGAACAAAAGGCAAATCCGCAGCAGAGTGGGGAGGGAGCAGAGGTTGAGCAGGTCACATCCATGCTCTGACCTTTCAGTCCTCTTTTCTTCAGAGGAACCAGCCTGGCCAGCGGCTGCTGCACCTTGCAGGACTCTTGCCAATAGCCCCAGCAGAAATGTTCCAAAATGTATTTCCTCCAGCCTTTCCCCAGCGCAAGAACTGTTAGAGAACGAGGCGTCTTCTCTGGTTAGCAGCAACCCCCCTGGGATCCCTGCTATGCTCTTGCTGCACAGGGTTCCAGAACAAAAGGGAAAAAGGGAAAAAAAAAAAGGAAAAATCCCCTGTCAGGTTGCTCCCGTGCAGCTGGAGGAGGCCTGGAGTGCTGAGCTGGCGGGGGGAAGACGCCGGCACTCCACACTCACTGCATCCTGACGTGCACTCCAAAACGATGACACCATCCCTGCCAGGGCACTGCCAAACCCTTCAGAGTGTCTGGCCCAGTGGCAGGATTTTACAAGGCTCCACTGCAGAAAGTCTCCCCCCTCAGAAACTGTCTGCTCTCACTACACACAGCGTCCCAAGGCGAAAAGCAAACGGGATCCTGGCTGGGCCACAACGATGACTTTTGAAGCCAGTTTAAGCCCCACGGCATATGGGGAGATGCAGCTGCAGCCCAGCACAGCTCCATGAGGCACCGGTGCATGGGAGGGCAGCAGCTGGTATGCATGTGTGTCCCACGGGACCAGAGTGTCCATTCTCTGCAGGGTTGGATCAGAGTGTGATCCAGAGTGTGCAGCGTGTGAGTGAACAGAGAAAAGCCCAGGCTGCCTGTGCCCAAAGCATCCCAGAAACATGTGGGATGACCTGGCAGAGCTACACTGGCCATCACAGTGGTAAGCAGGCCAGGGCTGCTGCGATCCACTTGAGCCAGTAGCAGGCTGTAGATGGTGATTTAGCAGAGTCCAGCCCCGCTAAGATCAAGCTTTGTCATCTAACACAGATCTGCCCCATGACTCAAGATGTAGTCATCTCTTATTCACCATCTTTCAGCCCTGACCCTGTAACATCACTGCTCATGCACTCCTCTGCCAGTCCTCCCCCATCATCAGACCCTGGGTCCTCATCATGCAGCTCTATGAACACAGCTCAGGCCCAAGCTGAACACAAACCCCCACTTCCTCAGCTGCCTCATCCCAACCACCTTATCACTCAAAAAAAATCCCACAGCTTGTTCCCATTCTGGGCTTTCTCCGTGTTTTGGGACTCTAGTTTGGGAAGGCCAAGGAATACTGAAAAAAATGACAGTGTTGAGGAGGGAGTATCATCCGAGTAAATCAATGGTTTGTGCTGCATTTTGGCACCATGGCCCTGAGTACAGCAGGATATTCCATCATGGAGGAGCTGCCAAGATCTTCACATCCTGGCTTTTCTCCTGACTTTACAGCTTGTTACTGAGGTTCCCAGATTCCACCACATGCAGTGGTAATGCTTGGAAATTTAGCATTGCCACAATTGCATCTGAAAGTAGTGACGTTGCTTAGCCAAGGCATATCAACTTTCTCAAGGGGAAAAAATATCAACCCTTGGCAGCTGCTGGATCACTATTTGGGTAAGAAGTATCAAAACAGTGTATATCTGTGATGCAAATCCAAAATGTTTTTCCCTGAGACGGGCAGAAGGAAGTATCACATTTGTCCTTTGCATCTCCAAAGTGTGAGACAAGGGAATAGCAGTGATGGAGAGCAAGAGAGCAAAACTCCCATGCTAAGAGACCCTGACCAGAAATCACTGAACGAGATGAGCCTGAAAGGGAGCTCAGGCACATTTTTGAGTCTCCTGTGCAACACATGCTTTCAGACTTTCCCTTGGAGCTCAAAAAGGCATCACACGCCCTCCCTCCTTTCCCCCTGCAGCCCAGACTTTAGTGCTGTGCCATCACAACTGAAGTTATTATCTTGCAGCGTGACATCAATGCAGCAGCAGGATCTGAGGTTTCAATGACTTGCCAGTTCTCACTGGAAAAGGGAACAGATTTTAAAGCTGTGACTATTTAGGTGTACTAGCTGATTACAAAGACAGCCAGACACGTGTGAGGTGAGGGAAAGACTGGATCATGCCCATTCCAGGCCTCTGGAAGCACCAGTGAAAGAATTTGCTGTTTTGGCTGCAGAGACCCTTAAGAAAGGAGGGAGGTTCTTTCTCTGCAACCACAACAGCAAATCCAGTGCCTGAGTTGAAAAGTTTGGCCAGGAGACAGGATTCAGGCAGCGATGAGCCTGCTAGGCTGACATCAGCATTACTCAGGTTTTAGAAAACAGTCTGAAGGAAAGAAAACAAATAGAAGATGTGGGTGCAACTGAAAAATAAATAAACGTGGCACTTACCAAGCACAGCTCATACCCAGGCAACCTCGTCTGTGAATAAAATAAACCATTTCTGTAGATCAAGCCTATGTGTCAGATCTTCACCCAGATAAACACAGTACATGAGATAAGACACACCACAGGAAACAAGTACTTCAGTGGAAGATGAAGTTTAAAAGGAGAACTGTAAAGGACATGAGCAACTAGAAAGCAGGTGGCACTTAAATGAGAAATACTGGACAGAGGGCAGATTTCTAGTAAAATATCTCCCAGATCGGCTTTGGGATTAATACTTTGGGAAGGACTTGACATAAAAATAGAAAGATACTGATGACAGACAAAGCATAGAGGAAGGTTGCCATGGCAGGGAGAGACTGAAACACCAACAGGGAAAGTTCGTCCTGGACCAGGGGAGTGGAAATTTAACAGGATTTAATTTCA